GTAATAAAAAGATAATAAAAATATTTACAATTTTAGAGTAACATTTTTTTTTAATAGTTCCTATAAATCCCTGCACGAGTTCTACTAGAACAAATATCGCTATAGTATCCATTATTTGATAACATACGATAGATAAGAGGAATAATCATAATAATGAAAATTAAAATGAAAAGTCTGATAATATACGATGAATAAGAATAATAAAAAGAAATTAAAATAATTGAGGAGATCTATAAAAAAGGGGATAATCTTGTCAAACAATAAACGATGAGGAGAAATGATACATTATTACCATAAAAATGTCAATGTCGTCTCACGAGTCGTATTTAAAAGGAAAGTTAGAAAACGAAAGATATAAGATGATTCGTTTTCTATCTGTTAACATTTCTATTGCACTATCATATTTGGATGGCGAAAAATTCAAATCAAAGAGAAAAGAGATAATTACACTGGTTCCTGCAGACGAATATCAGTACTGGAAAGAAGAAGAAGAGGAGAATCCACACAATATTCAAATTGGCCTAGATAAAATAATTTGTATATACCATTTTACAAATCCAAATAAGAATAAGAAGGATTTTCATATCCTTTTAAAGTTACAGTGCAAGTCTTGTCCTTTATATGCGGGTTATCTATTTCCAGGATGATATAAAGAAAAGTTGTATATATTTTACCTTTCATAGACAACGCTTCATCGACACTGCAATGTTATATTCATCTTCCTTTAACTTTAATAAACATTATATGATGTTACTGTTATTCTGTCTAAATAGAATAGATACATATCTCGGTGCACAGGATACAAATGTTATCACCAACAACAATGATAGTGACAACGAATATATACGTAAAAGGTTAGAGAAAAAAAGAAAATATCTATTTTATGGTATAATATGTTATGAACGAAATGATTGGAATTTCTTGTTGAATGGTAATTATTTTGTTAAACCACTACAATTATAAGTATACATATATATATGTAATTGACTTATATAGCTTATAGTTCATTATGTCATATATCATTCATTATAAATTATATATCAATTTGATATAATAAGATAATATAATACCATATATAAATATATGAATTAGATTGACAGTCGTTGCTTTCCTCTCTGTTTCATTTCACGCTTTCTCTTGATATCTTGGTATATATTCCGTGTTTGATTATATATATATATATATATATATATATATATATATATATATATATATATATATATATATATATATATATTGTTATTATATCATATGATTATTATATATTATAATTATAATGTATTGGATGTTTTTCTCACATGATTATTATATATTAATAATTATAATGTATTGGATGTTTTTCTCACATGATTATTATATATTAATAATTATAATACATTGGATATTATTCTCATATACATATGTATTTATACATACACACACACACACACACATATATATATATATATATTATATATATATATATGTATTATATTTTATAGTATTATATTATAGTATATATTAGG